TGTAAAAAATCATTTANGGCCTCCCTGTCCATCACCAACTCCTGGAGCTTACTCAAACTCATGTCCATTGAGTTGGTGATGCCATCTAACCATCTCATCCTCTGTCATCCCATTCTTCTCCTGCCCTCAATCTCTCCCAGCCCTCCAGGTCATCACAGAGCACCAAGCTGAGCTCCCTATGCTTTATAATAGGTCCCCAGTAGTTATCTTTTTCACAGGCGTGTATATACGTGGTAGCATACGTACATGGCATGAATATTGAGCAAGGACAAGAAAGAATCCACAAGGACGCAAGCCCTGGAAGATGGTAGTTGGTAGGCAGGAAATAAAGAAATGCCAGTAGGCTTAAAGGGAAGAATCATTTCATCATCTTGAGAGGAGAGGTGATGCTGCGTCCACTGGGACGTGTAAGGAGCTCCTCCCTTCCTTCCTGCAGATCTCTAGATCTCTGCAGGGGAGCTGAAACTGATTCTCAAAGGGTGAGGGGCGGCATCTGTTCCCCTTGCTTGACTCGAAGGGCTTAAGGAGCAGGCATGGAGTGGCTTGCGTCAGGAGAGCGCAGCATCTCGGGGCACTCTCGGAGCAGCGGGCTTAATGGATGCTTAGAGAGGCATCAAGTGGCTCCTGCCCGTGGGGCGGGAGATGGCTCCAGGTCGATCCTAGTATTAAGTGGATCTAGATTGGGCTGCAAATGGCTCTGGCCCCTGAGATGAGGTTGGAGAGGAGGGAAAGGCCGCGGATCTTCAGGGCGCTGGCAAACACGGGAGGAAGGGCAGATGTGATTCACGGTACGTTAGGAAATCACTGCAAGGTTTTGAGCAGTGCTCAAAACCTTTTGACCTTGCTTCACTCATGTGTGACGACTACCCTAGCTGCTGTGTGGAGAGTGGATTGGAGGCAAGTAACTGGCAAGACCACTACAGGAACAAGAGATGTTATTAGCTCGAACCAGAGAGCTCCCACGAGACATGCAGATACATGGATTCCAGCTCTTTTGGAGTTCAGCTCCCTGGTTTCTGCTGGCTTAAATGGAGGAGGAGCAGGTTGGCATGCAGATGGGGTATTAGAAGCTAAGTTCAGGATGGATCTGTTCAGTTGGAGATGCCTGTGAAAAACCCAAGTGGAAATGTCCAATGAGCAGTTGAATATATAAGTCAAGATCTGGGCTGGAACTGTATTTGCTAGGTCCCTTGCTTCTGACTTGAGCTTAAATAAACTCTAGATTGTGGCAAAGAGGGCGTTAACATCGAACACCTACGATATGCCAAGTACTAATTATGTTACAGATGTTTTGTCACAAAGTTTATACACATTTTCCAAAAACACCCTCCCAATTCAGCCCCATCGGGACCTAACTCTAGACTACCTGGGATACACTCACTGCAGACACTCAGACAAATCAGGGAATACATTCCTCACTCCCAGATGCCTAATGAGGTCCTGGAGGGGTCACTGCACCTGGATCTAAGTTCAAAGACTACAGAGACCTGAACATAAGAGGTAGAGAAAAGCTCCCAGGAGACTGAATCTGAGAACTCTAGACCCACATCCTGGCTCCACCGTCAGTCAGCTGGATCTCTGGAGACAAAGGGTGTCTCGTCTCTTTGTCTGCTGCCTGGCCCACAGACTGCTTTGCAGAGTGGTGAGCTGTCTCTTTTCAGCAAATACCTGCCCTACTGATATCCTCACTGCCGAATCAACTAAGTGAAAGTGTTAATCGCTCAGTTGTGTCCAACTCTTTGCGACTCCATGGACTGTAGCTGGCCAGGCCCCTCTGTCCACAGGATTTCCCAGGCAAGAATACTGGGGTGGGTACCATTTCCTCCTCCAGGGGATCTTCTGACTCAGGGATGGAACTCAGGTCTCTCACATAGCAGGCAGATTCTTTACCCTCTGAGCCACCAGGGAAGCCCACAGCGAGACAGCTATGGCAGTTTTAAAATAAGGCACCAAATTCCTGGACGCTCTTCCCACTGAGAAGGAGTGAGATATGGAGGAGGATGCCTCCCCTGGGTTGGCAGGTCGGCCCATGAGGCTCAGTATCTCCTGCCCTTGAATCTACTGGTTCTCCTAGAATGCCCTCTCTTCAGTTGATTCCTCTCATAAGTAAGCCACCATTTTGTGAGAAGCTCAAATCACTGGGAGAAGGCACATCCACAATCTCAGCTGAATGCAGGGTTGAGCCGTCTCAGCCCTGACACCAGAACAAGGAAGTGAAGCAGCCTGATTAAACCCCCAGCCCCCAGCCACTGAGCCACCCTAACCACCGAGTCAGCCCAGCTGAGCCCCAGACAGCGTGGAACAGACACAAACCGCCCCCTCCACGCCCTGTTCGAAATCCTGGCCCATAAAGCTATGCTTATAATACGAAATGGTTTGATACCACTTAGTTTGGGGGTATTTTGTCATGCAGTAACTGGAATGGTTATTAAAGGGGTTTCTCAAGAACTATCTTTTAAAATGCAAACACATTACTTGGAAGGATAAACACCTTCAGATGAACACACACAATCAGTGTATCCAACAGACAGCAAAGCAGAGAAGGAGAGCCAAGAGATGCTCTCCTGTTTCACTGACAGAATAGACACACAGAAGTGCCTTCCAGAAAAACCAGAGGCAGAAAGGTGGCCGCACCGTGAAGGCTTAAAAGAGAAAGATATGCATCAAAAGCACAGGCAGGAGGGCAAAGTCCAACCACATTTTCCTCAAAGTTGTGCTTCATTCTGCAACTCTCTCACTAGCTACGAAGTCATTCATATATGCCAGTTTTCCAAATGTACTTGCTTAATGTTAAAAATCACCTGGAGATCATAAAGTAATGCAGAAAGAGCAATTATTACCCGCCTGCCCCCAGGGAGGTTTGGGGTTCTCAAGGCAAGAATACTAGAGTGGTTTTCCATTCCCTCCTCAAGGAGGGACCATGTTTTGTCAGAACTCTCCACCATGACATGTCTGTCTTGGGTGACCCTGCACGGCATGCCTCGAGAACCCCATGAACAGTATGAAAAGGCAAAAAAGATATGACACCAGATCCCCAGGTTGGAAGATGTCCAATATGCTACTGGGGAAGAGAAGAGAAATAGCACCATAAAGAAGGCTGAGCGCCGAAGAATTTATGCTTTCCAACTGTGGTGCTGCAGAAGACTCTTGAGAGTACCTTGGACTGCAAGGAGGTCAAACCAATCATTCCTGAAGGAAATCAACCCTGAATATTTATTGGAAGGACTGTTGCTGAAGCGGAAGCACCAATACTTTGGCCACCTGATGCGAAGAGCCAACTCATCGGAAAAGGCCCTGATGTTGGGAAAGATTGAAGGCAGGAGGAGAAGGGGATGACGGAGGATAAGATGGTTGAATAGCACCACCATTTCAATGGACATGAGTTTGAGCAAACTCCTAGAGATACATAGGACAAGGAAGCCTGGTGTGCTACAGTCCATGGGGTTGCAAAGAGTCAGATACAACTTAGCAACTGAACAACAGCAAGTTCTAGGAAACATGAACCTTGAGAATGTAAATCCCAGCAAAGTTCAGTTACAATGATGTGGAGGAAGAAGTTGTAAACATTGCAATTCATTTGCTAATCAGTTTAATATTACATGCTAATTATATTAGATATTAAAAATGAGTATAAAAATAAAGAATATTTAATGAACATTGATAAAATATAAAATAAGAGAGGTGTCAGGTTAAATATTTGTGGTTTATTCAAGCCATTATTCAATGCAAGTAAAAATGATGGGGCAAGATACACGGGTAGACTCTAGAACAGAGAAAAGAGCAAAAAATGTCTAAAAGCCATGAATTAATGTTACCTAAGGGCTGCCGTCTATGGGGTCACACAGAGTCGGACACGACTGAAGTGACTTGGCAGCAGCGGCAGCAGCAGCAGGTAACCAATGCTCATGTCTACCCCCAACCTCACCACCTCCCCATTGTTTTTGGAAGTACCTTGAATCTCATTTGTTTGTTAATATAAACCCTAGAGTTTCTTTTCCAGGAATACATTGAGAACTTTGTAAAGAATGGTGAGATTGTTCTGTCATGAATTCACCACGTAACTGGTTATGACTCCTAAGTTCTGTATCATTAGACGGTTTTCTTGATACTGGTATTGATCTGGATCAATGAGAAATTTATCAGTCCCCAAACCCTAGTCCCCACAGAGACTGGGAGCAACTTAGGCCCTTTGAACCTGTTCAGATTTATTCTCTTGCCTTGAGACCCCTTAGTAATTATATGGTGTAGTTTTCCAGAGTAAAATTGACATCCGTCTCTGATTCCAAGAGTTTGTATGTACTGCAATGGGTAAAACAAAATGTCTGATGAACTATTTATTATTTGTATTGATACTGGAGTTCTAAGCAATAAAAATGAGAATCCCAGGAATAGAGACAAGATGTAGAGAACAGACTTGTGGNCACCTCTCCTCTCAAGATGATGAAATGATTCTTCCCTTTAAGCCTACTGGCATTTCTTTATTTCCTGCCTACCAACTACCATCTTCCAGGGCTTGCGTCCTTGTGGATTCTCTCTTGTCCTTGCTCAATATTCATGCCATGTACGTATGCTACCACGTATATACACGCCTGTGAAAAAGATAGCTACTGGGGACCTATTATAAAGCATAGGGAGCTCAGCTTGGTGCTCTGTGATGACCTAGAGGGGTGGGGGTGGGGAGGGTGGGAGGAAAGCTAAAGGAGGGGATATATGTTTATGTATACATATAGTTGATTCACCTTGTTGTAAAGCAGAAACTAATACAGCACTGTAAAGCACTTATACTCCAATCTGAAAGTTATCTTAAAAAAGGGAGTCCCTTACAGTGTATCAACTTAGAAGCATATTATTCCTCCTTAGACCAGTGGCTGTGTGTAATATCTCAGGGGGCATGTTCAGTAGAAGAAGGCATCATGTCATTTCCCCATGAATCTCAGGCCTGTCTGGATTCTAAAAGGTCCTGGCTGCTCACCCTCTGATCACTGTTGTTTCCCTCTCAGGGACATCTCTTATACCAGTGTCACTGCCCTGCCATCCAAAGGCCTGGAACACCTGAAGGAACTGATAGCAAGAAACACTTGGACTCTAAAGAAACTTCCTCTTTCCTTGAGCTTCCTTCACCTCACACGGGCTGACCTTTCTTATCCGAGCCACTGCTGTGCTTTTAAGAATCAGAAGAAAATCAGAGGGTAAGTGGCAGTGTCTGGATTAAGTGACAAAAGGTTTTGGTGGAAGTTGAATTAATTTCTGGGTTTGAGGAAGAAGTTCTGTTGTTTGCAAAAACAGGTGGAGAATTTGGAAGCGTCTGTAAGAAACATGAAGTCCATGGGACACAGTGACTCTGCAGACCAAAAGTGTTTGTAGATCAGAAATAAGGCTTGTATCTCTGCATCAAAGCAGAGGAGGGGAGGATTTTAGGCAGTGATGCAGGAGAGACAGGAATGATTTCTCACGAACCTCCAAACATTAGGTAGAATAGGCAGTCCGCTGCAGATTTTAAACATCACTCCATAGATGAATCTGCTCAGCAGCTAAGGCCATCTAAGAAATCTCTTCGGGCTCTATCTGGTGGGCTAGTGAAACCCTAAAGCTTACTTCCGTAAGCATGCCTGCACAATAGTGTCCCTTTATTCATCTGTTCAGTAAACATTTACTGAGCACCTGTTATGTGCCCGGCACTGTCCTATTCCCAGCAATGAATAGGACAGACCAGAGCCTTCTTGCATTTTGTTTACATTCTAGTATGGAAGTCAGAAAAGAAACTGGCAAACAACTAAGAAGATCTCAGATAGTGCTATGAGGGAAATGAACACAAGGGTCAGACAGTTTATTAAAAAAGAGGAAGAAAGGCTGTTCTGAGGAAAGACAATTTGAGTTTAAAACTGAATACTCAGTAGAGGCAGCCAGGAGTTTTTCAGGCAAAGGGAATGTGGAATTCTGAAGCTCGGAGTAGGAGTAATAATAATACTAAGAGCAACCAGCAGAGTCAGACACAACTGAGCTCACACGCCCTCACACGCACACCTACCTGGCACTGACAACATTCCAGGTGCTGTCGTAAGAACTTAAAAATGATACACTCATGTATTCCTATAACAACCCAAAATAAAATACTCTCACTCTCCCGTTCTATGCATAAATAAACCAGTACTCATAGACCTTCCCAAGGTGAAATAACCAGGAAATAGTAGAATCGGGTCCTAGCCTAGGCAGACTGGCTCTCGTATCCATGATTTTTTTTTTAATCACTGCTGTTCTTGAACTGGTTGCAGAAGAGCAAGAAGGACAGCATGTCAGTGGATCATACTTGGGTAGGGAAGGTAGTAGGAAATGATGCAGGAGAGACAGGCCTGACCACATCACGTAGAACCCGGTGTATCATACGACTTAGTCTGCACATTCTGCTAAGTGTGGTGGGGACCATCAGTGGGTTTTCAACAAGTGGTAACTTTCTATCCACTGCCTTGCAGAATCCTTCAGTCTTTAATGTGTAACGAGAGCAGTATCCGGGGCCTGCGTCAGAGAAAATCCGCAAGTGCTTTGAGTGGTCCCTTCTACCAGGAATATGAGGAGGATCTGGGTGATGGCAGTGCCGGGTACAAGGAGAACTCCAAGTTCCAAGATACCCACAGCAACTCTCATTACTACGTCTTCTTTGAGGAGCAAGAAGACGAGATCATTGGTTTTGGCCAAGAGCTCAAAAACCCCCAGGAGGAGACCCTGCAGGCCTTTGACAGCCATTACGACTATACCGTGTGTGGCGGGAGTGAAGACATGGTGTGTACCCCCAAGTCGGATGAGTTCAACCCCTGTGAGGACATCATGGGCTACAAGTCCCTGAGAATTGTGGTGTGGTTTGTGAGTCTGCTGGCTCTCCTGGGCAACATCTTCGTCCTGGTCATCCTCCTCACGAGCCACTACAAGCTGACCGTGCCACGCTTCCTCATGTGCAACCTGGCCTTTGCAGACTTCTGCATGGGGTTGTACCTGCTCCTCATCGCCTCCGTAGACCTCTACACTCAGTCCGAGTACTACAACCATGCCATCGACTGGCAGACGGGCCCTGGCTGCAACACGGCTGGCTTCTTCACCGTCTTTGCCAGCGAGTTGTCTGTGTACACCCTGACGGTCATCACCTTGGAGCGCTGGTACGCCATCACCTTCGCAATGCACCTGGACCGCAAGATCCGCCTCTGGCACGCCTACGTCATCATGCTGGGGGGCTGGGTTTGCTGCTTCCTGCTCGCCCTGCTCCCTTTGGTGGGAATAAGCAGCTATGCCAAGGTCAGCATCTGCCTGCCCATGGACACTGAGACCCCTCTTGCCCTGGCATACATTATCCTCGTTCTGTTGCTCAACATTGTTGCTTTTATCATCGTCTGCGCCTGTTACGTGAAGATCTACATCACAGTCCGAAAGCCCCACTACAACCCGGGGGACAAAGACACCAGAATTGCCAAAAGGATGGCTGTGTTGATCTTCACTGATTTCATGTGCATGGCCCCAATCTCTTTCTATGCTCTGTCGGCCCTTATGAACAAGCCTCTCATCACCGTTACCAATTCCAAAATCCTGCTGGTCCTCTTCTACCCACTTAACTCCTGTGCCAATCCGTTCCTCTATGCCATTTTCACCAAAGCCTTCCAGAGGGATGTGTTTATCCTGCTCAGCAAGTTTGGCATCTGTAAACGCCAGGCTCAGGCATACCGGGGTCAGAGAGTTTCTCCAAAGAACAGCACCAGTATTCGGGTCCAAAAGGTTCCCCCAGATGTGAGGCAGAGTCTCCCCAACGTGCAGGATGGCTATGAACTGCTTGAAAACTCTCATCTAACCCCAAAGCAGCAGGACCAAACCTCAAAAGAGTATAAGCAAACAGTTTTGTAAGTGGTACAAGGATTTAGGCTGGTTTTTTGAGCATCATTCCAACCATTGACACAACACACGGCTGATCTAATCTGTAGGTAATGTTCATGTCTGGAGAAGGACTAGCAGTAACCTAATCATTGCCTCCAAGAAGGAAGAGAGGCAACTGGCGTGTCTGAATTCCAGGTGATATCAGAGTAATCTATACTTCCTGGAAGAGTCACTGGATGTCAAGTGCAGCGATGACACTGTAAAATGTTTCATATATATCAACTGAGCCGTGTTGACATTGCGCTTACTTTTATATAGCATTTCATACTAAAGATTTAGCAAATGGCAATCATTATTAACTTGGTTGGTGACCACAAGATAAAACTGACTCTGTGTTGGTTCAGTTCAATTTCACGCTCACTGATACAACCCACGAGAGTTTGATTTCCACAAAACTGAAACATCCGAGAGGACATCATACAAGGAACAGCTGTTTTGACACATGAAGGGGAGGAGAAGGCTTTGAGTTGTTTTTTTTTCTGACTCTGAAACAATCATCTCTTCACAAGAATCTGCCTGAGTGGGAACCAACTGTTGCCTGGGAAAACTGGCAAGATTTCAGCCGTTGTGGCTGAGCAGACTAAGAAGAGCTCTTCTTGGCCAGTCTCCTGGCATTAAAAGCATGCACTCGAGAAAGTCCTTCTAAATGGCAAGTGGGAATTATGAGCTAGGCATTCTAGATCACCCGCTTACTAACCAAGCAGGCTGGGCATCCGTTTATTGTTGGACCTTGGCCAAGTTACTGGGCTTCTGCAGTCTGCAGAAATGAAGGAGCTTGATGGCCTCTTCCAGTTTTAAAACTCCATGGATAACCCTCCCCCTCAAAACATAGGTTGCCATGAGGAAGAGAAAGAAAAACAATAAGGAAGCAGAACCTCTGTTTTTCCCATCTTTCAGCGCTGCCATCTCCCCTTTGGAGCCTAGATATGTGACCCAGGAAATGTTTTCTCTTTCATTTTTTGGTTATGATCTGAACCAGAAATTCTAGTGAGTGACCAACATATCAAGCTGGCTCTGAATCACTCATCTAATTCCTAGACCTACACAGCTATCATTATCAGGCCAAAAGCAGACGGATACACACAGTATAATAAATAAAAGGTTGGTTTTTGCAAATGTTGGTTAGTTACTATTTCACTATGAAAACTCATTTGAAACATTTAATTTGTCTTTGGGGATTGGCTAAGTAAAGAAATACCATACAACACTAAAATAATCAAGAGAGGTTTCTTCTCTCTGAAACCGTCAGCTTTTTCCAACCTTGTTGACCACTGGACATAAAATCTGTATTCCCCAACAGTGCTCCCTTACTTAATATGGTCAGGATTTTTATCATAGATGTATTCTCCAGGTTATTTGTCAAAACAGCCCCTTAATTTCATCCTAAGCAGAGGCAGCATTTGCTTCTCAGTGCTCATGAACTACACTGTGGATTAAAACCACAGCGTGAATTAAAATCTCTTGTTAAGTCTGTGGAGCTGGGCTGGTGGGCCCACTGGGTCCCCAGAGATGGTGACCCTGACTCACCTGGAATCTCTCAATAGCCATATTCATTCATGATTATCATTGAGATGTGGATTGGATGTTTCAGTAGAAATGTTATACACACCTAAAGTCATGACTTATCCACAAGTTCACTTGTAACTAATGAAATTAAACAAATGTGTTACCTTTGACATGTGTTTTTCATCTGTGACATTTTGAAGCATCACATTCTGATAAATAATGTTTTACCTTGAGTAGTTGAAATAATGCTTTGATAACAGTCCTAGAAAAGTAACTTCTACAGATTTGTTGCTAAAGTTTGCATTTGTGACATGAAGTAAATTTTCTTCCTATGAAATGACTGTGCTGAGTTCTAAAGTATTGCTTTTTATAATTTGTGAGCTAAAACTAAAGGCAGGAAAAAATTGGCTAATAAATCCATATCAATAAATTATTGACTACGAATAACTTAAGTATAACATTGTATCTTGGTTGTAAATGGTCTTTATGTGAACAAATTTACTCATGGTAAAATGAACTATGATTCATTGACAGGCAATGATATCTAAGAGAAAAAAATTATTGGTATTTACACTAGGAATTTATATAGTGCTCTGTGGCCCAGATGGTAAAGAATCTGCTTGTAATGTGGGAGACCTGGGTTCGATTCCTGGGTTGGGAAGATCCCCTGAAGAGGGGAACCGCTACCCACTCCAGTATTCTGGTCTGGAGAATCCCATGGACAGAGGAGCCTGGCAGACTACAATCCATGAGGTTGCAAAGAGTTCATGTACATTTGTGATGAAGTGTAACAATCAACTTTAAGCCTCAGATTTTCCAGGTTTTAGCTGAAATAAGCCTTATTAGCATCTTAGATTTTTATCAGTCTTGTTTGGGGGCTTATTAGACCTTATTTTGCCTTATTAGACCTATACAGAGTACAATATTAAAATATGTTAATGGTCTATACTGAGAATGTGGCATAATAGATGGGTTTATAATGCCTTAGGGACAGCAGCTGACCCACAACACATCCTGCAAACATTAATTGCAAGTCCATCTCACCTGGCCCCTCCCATCGCCTCTCATTCCATTTAGTTAGAATAACTGACACATTCAGGGTTCTTCCCAGGTTGAAATCAAGAAACTGACTGGAAAGAAAGTGAATGTTCAGTGTACATAGGGCTAAGTTTCTGGTCTAGGGCAGGGGGCAGGAAGCAGAGACCTGAACTCACTTGCCCACCTCCTCCCTCACACTGTTAAGTGAAGCCTGGTCATTGATGCAAAGGCATCAATATCAGTGCCCAGCCAGCGAAAGGGGGAGGGAGATCTACATCATTTGCTGACACGAACCATCCTCATTCTTTAAGCAAAAATAAAAAATGAACCATAATAATTACCAGAGTTTTGAGAAAAATGAAGTGCATATCAATAGCATGAAAAAAGGGAGCAAATTGAACAAACAGAACATTACTCCAGAAAAGTCTGTTCAGAAACACAGTATTATTTTTAAATTTCTAATTAATAATATCAGATAAATTTAATAATCAAAAGCAAGAAGGAGTTTTGGCAAATTTAAAATGGGACTGCCAAAGCAAGAGATTTAACAGAAGGACCAGGAGCTAAAGTAGAAGAACTCTAGAATGTTGAACAAATAAATAAAGATATGAAGTATCTGACAAAAGTTGAAAGATACAGAAGATCAACCTCAAAGTCCAACATAAGTATAACAGTTTTAGAGAAAATATAGAAAACGTAATAATAACCAGAGCCACAGAAGAAGAAAACTTCTTGAGCGGATTGACAGTGTCTCCTAAGTACTATGGGGATGGATGAAAAAGACTCACATGTAGAACAGTCCATCTAAAGTATCAGAACACCAAAAGTAAAGGAGAGCTGTAAAATGTTCGAGAGTGAATGAAGAGAGAGAAAGAGAAAAAAAATGTCAGTTATTATAAACAACTAACAAGTAGCTGCTGCTGCTGCTAAGTCACTTCAGTTGTGTCCGACCCTGTGAGACGCCATAGACGGCAGCCCACCAGGTCCTCTGTCCCAGGGATTCTCCAGGCAAGAATACTGGAGTGGGTTACCATTTCCTTCTCCAATCAGGGTGACCTTTAATTCAAGTTAACAACATTGTATACTAGAGGACATGATGCAATGTTTTCAATGCCTTGGGAAAAAGTATTTTAAACTCCAGAAAAATAAATGACCCAATCAAAAAATGGGCCAAAGATGTAAACAGACATTTCTCCAATGTTCTAATGAGGTGGATGAAACTGGAGCCAATTATACACAGTGAAGTAAGCCAGAAAGAAAAACACCAATACAGTATACTAACGCATATATATGGAATTTAGAAAGATGGTAATGATAACCCTATATGTGAGACAGCAAAAGAGACAGAGATGTATAGAACAGTCTTTTGGACTCTGTGGGAGAGGGTGAGGGTGGGATGACTTGGGAGAATGGCATTGAAACATGTATATTATGTGAAACAAAAATAAATAAATTAATAAATCCAGGATCCTATACCCAGTTGAATTTTCATCCAAGTGTAAGGGCAAAATAATGACACGATTTATATTGCAAGTACTTGGAAGGTTACTTATGTCAGATAAATTATCCAAAAGTTGGAATTAAGCCAAAAGATAACTTTTTTTGGGTGTGTTTTCAGTGCAGTGCTGGGCTTGACTTCCTATTGTCAAGGCAATCTGCCACTTGATAAGGACAGAGGTTAACTTGTCTAGATGATCTTGATCTGATAGAGATTCAACCAACTTCTGCATGATTTGTGGACTCACTGGATGTTGACCAGCTTTGTATCTAACCCAGCAGTTTTATCATAACACTTACAATTGCTTTTAGGTGAAAGTGAAAGAGAAAATATTAATTGCTCAGTCATGCCTGACTCTGTGTGACCCCATGGACTGTAGCCCACCAGGCTCATCCGCCCATGGGATTTTCCAGGCAAGAATATTGGAGTGGGTTGCCATATAGGTACTTAACTTCTTAAGTGCATATTTGGACCAATTTTAACAATTTGCTGATATTGTCATCAAATTTTAAGTTGAATAAAATCTTTGGAAAATGTTTACATTTGCAGAAGAGTCATTTTCTAACACTACCCATATCTCCCATATGAAAAATTACTTGAAGTAGTACTTCAGATATGATGTAATTTCCTTTTCAATGGCTCTTGACACACTCTTGGTTTTACAGTTGATAAGATTTGTGTGCTATAATTTTATAAATATTTTAAAATCAAATTATATGACTCATATTTCCCAATAGAATATAAATATTACAAACCTTGACAAGTCAAAGTAATGGTATTGCTGACAAAAGTCAGGAGAGGGAGGAGAACAGTAAAGGAGAAGGACATGATAAAGGAGTTAATTCCCTATGTTACACAATGCGGAGGGATGAGAGACTGCCCACAGTTAACAGAATAAGAAATAGAAGTTTGTTATAAAATCAAACAATTAAAGAGCCTAAAATTAACACCAGCCTCCAAATTTTAAGGGTGGAAGCTAGGAGAGATTATGTTAAAACAACTAATTTCCTCACCTCCCTTATGTGCAGACAAAAGATATATTGTCTAAATATCTGTAGTTCAAATATCAGGTACCTAAGTGTAACAAAAATACAATAATAACCTGCAGCAGAATTAAAATCAGAAAATGACTAAAAGTAGTTTTCTTTAGGGGTTGGGACTAGGAATTGAGTACTGTTACAGGAGATGAACTGAGTCCCCCCAAATTCAGGCTGAAGCCCTAACCCTCAACATGAGTGTATTTGGAATAGGGCCTTCATGGACGTAATTGGTGTTAAATGCGGTCAAAAGGGTAAGGCCCTAATCCCATGGGACGGGCATCCTTATGAGAAGACGACACACCACAACTCCCATTCTCACATTCGCACAGAGGAAATGCTCTGCGATGATGCAGCGAGTGGGTGGCCATTTGCAAGCCAGGAAGAGAGCCCACACCAGAAACAGTCTGCTAACACTTCAGTCTTGCATTTCTAGCCCCTAGAATTGTGAGAAAATAAGTTTCTGTTGTTTAAGCCACCCAATGTGTGGTATTTTGTTATGGCAGCTCATGCTAACACATTGTAGATGAAAACTTTTCAACTGGTATTCCTCTGTACTGCTAATTCTTTTTTATCATATGCTTACTTTTTAAAAACATCAGAATGGAAATTATTATACTAATATTGTGCTTTAAAATAATTAACAATTAAAATGTGGCATTTAAAGAAAGGTACAAAATGGCCAAGTTTATCAGGTAGTTGAGTTATTGTCTGTAGAGTTGTTAAGGGTGGGAGGCAGATATCACATTGAAGGTCACTTGAACAAAAACCTAACCACTATGAAATCTAGCTTTTTAGGATTTGACAAAACAAAACAATGAGTTTTAAAGTGCTTACTTTGCAGCAATACCTGATAAGCTAAACACTAAGAAAGTAAAAGCCCTTTAGAATTTATTCTACTGGACAACCTATTCACATTAAATCAGAATTTTCATTTCCCTTAAAATGCACTGCTGTAAAAGTGGCATAAGGAAAATTAAACAACAAATTGTTATCTGTATTATGAATTATAAGTAAAAAGTAAAACTTTGAATAAAGTAAGGAAACCAAGATTGTGTGAACCACTTCAATTTCATCACCCATTCAGTATAATTTTGTAATCTGTTTTGGGAATTTGAGAATATTGGGGAATATTCTATTTCATTTACTGAAGTATTTTATATGGAGAGGGAGTAGGAGGTGATGGACATGTTCTTGGACAGCATGCAATGAAAAGTTTAACTGTGTCTCATCCCTGTACCATCCAGTCTTAAAAAAAAATAACAGTTCCTTATGTTTAAGAGTTTATTTATGTTTATTGTTTAAGAGTCACAATGAACTATAGAAATAGTTCAGGCATTTGGAAATCATGCAATGAGGTATTAATAATTCACTGTAATGTGATATAAATAAAGGATTTTAGTCATTGAGAAATTTACAATCAAAACAGCAATATAGATCTGCCCACTACATGGGAAGTACTTTAACAAAAGACTATTTATAATTTATTCCTGTGACTCAGGTTTTTTTCACCACAGGCCCTGCCATGTGAGGACTGACCCCAAAGAGAGTCGCAAAAAAGTCTGAGAAACTGAGAAAGCCTCAGTTCTCTCGGAGGCTTTTCAAGTATCTCAGCAAGGACCATATTAAACAGATGAGGCAAAAGCTGAGAAAAACAAGACTAGTTTCATCCCTACTTTTTTTTTTTAAAGTAAATCCCAGGTTTAAATTTTACTACATTCCACATCAGTTCCCCAGACACCACATGGAAAAGACTTCTGGAATGATAGAGGACAAAGATATTGTCAAACAAAATATTGGCAGGTGATTTGTGTATCTGTGGGAATA